ACGAAGGACCACCACCGCCCGCCGCCACTGGCAAGGATGGAGTTGGTCAGCCATTGTCGCTGGAGCAAGAGCACCCACAAACACCCAATATGTGGAATTGGGAAAATGGAACCCCGCGTGCCAAGGCTGGGCAAAATTTGTTGTCTTCACATGCCAATTTCGTCTTCTGAAAGATATTGTTGGCTCACGACCGTCTCAGAGAATTTCAATAAATGTGTAGAGCACAACTCGTTTCTCTCGAGATTTCTACCCCTGTTAAAAAACCCAGGGCGTGCTCTCGTGTGTTTGTAGTAATGTACAATCTCCTGTCTCTTAATAATCTTGGTATCTCCCAAAGCAGTCCCTAATGCCCAACTCCACTATCCCACCTTGATAACCCGTTCTGCAACCTCTTGCGTACAAAACCCAACCGTTCCTGATGTCCGTCCAAACTTTGACCGAGTCAATGACTCAATCTTGACCTGCGTTTTAAGGCCGCTCTCCGTCATCGTGACCCATCCGATTCGTGAGTGCCTGCGCCAGTTTCCGTTTTCCCGATATATAGGTGTTCCGTGGAGCCGTACCCAGTTTGTCATCGCCCCTATCCCGCATCCGTATGTAGCGAGGACGATGCTGCAACCATTCGCCGTAAAAAGAAAAATGACCCAATGTTCCTGTCCAACTTATTGTCGTACCCTGCTGCACGAGTGATTTTCCCGAAAGGCATAGAGCAAAGGAAAGCTTTGGAAACAAAAGTGACAACGGTCCCGACTGGCCCCCTCTATGACCCTGATAGTCTCGTCCCATTAATATTCCGTGGTATCGGTATACCGCCGGACTTTCGTGTATGACCGAGCGCGTAATAAAGAAAAGGAGATACGAGACACGGCCCGTGGTCGAATTATAATGAGTTTTTGAAAGGCTTCTCCAAAGCGTCCGGTTCCAGGCGTATCCCCCCAAGGCCAACCATGTCTACTTTTGCGTCTTCGTTTAATTTGTGGAAACCCCATGCTGTGGTTGTGGTGGTTCAATGTACGGAGGCATAGTCATCGTGATCGTAGGCCACTTCGACATCTGGGTACCTAAGTAGATGAAACCCCTTGGAAGTAACCCAACTGAAGTCGGTGCTTCGCGGGTGAGCTCAGCCGTAAGATCGAGCAAGCATCGAACGTTCAGGGTCTCGAGCGGCACTTTAGAACCGTCTATTCTCGCTTGAGTGGAGGGGTTCCGTCGTCAGAGTGATCTTGCGAAGAGCGGCGCCCGTTCTCGTTTTGGTTATCGCCCTCCTTGGAACCACACCCCTTGACTAAGCGATGTCTCTGTAAAATCGATTAGCTATCAAACATCTCTTACGAAACAGATTGGCGATGCGATTGTTTGTTGGAATACTAATAGCTCACCTTCAGCGCGTCTTTGCGCGAGAAACTCTTGTCGCAAAAGTTACAGGGGAAAGGCTTGACGGCAAGATGGATTCGCTTGTGTCTCTTGAGATCGTGGTTTCGGTTGAAAGACTGCGGGCACTGATCACACTTGAAAGGACGCTCGGCTTGCGGGTTGGGCTGTCCCCCGTGGCTGTGGCCATACATTGACGGTGCTAGATGGTGTGCCCCATAAGCCCCGGGAACGCCCATCCCGGTGACAAGCGACATTTGGTGTCCGGGAGAAGTGAGGTTGGACATTATGGGTCCTCCCATCGATGGGACATGATAGCCGGGATAGCGGTAGGAACCAGGGGGTGCCATCGCGGAAGGGTGTTGAAGCGCAGCCAGTCCTCTTCCGGGGCCCGCTGACGTCGTCGGAGAGGGAGCGGTGGGCGAGGTGTGGGATGGTTGGTAGTTGTTGAACGATTGCTGGGGGGCTGAGGAAGTTGAGTAGTAGCCGGGAGTCGCCGGTGGCCGAGACTGGGTATACGAGTCAATATGGGAGTGCAGCCCACCGGGTGTTGGAGGTTGAGTCGAGACGGTGCCGTGAGATCCAAGGATCCCAGCCTGAGGTGTCGGGGGCCCTTGAGATGGCAAACTGACTGGTGTAGAGCCCGCTCCTCCGTGAGCATAAGCCTGGAAGGACTGGTGCGTTTGCCCGTAGGGCGGTGGAGGAAGACCCTCACCAGTTGCGGGTGATTGCGAAGTGCGAGAGTAGGACATTGGGGACTGCTGATCGTAGGTGCTCGCGCGGGAGGCGTACTGGGACGTCTGGACGAGCCCTTGGGGCGTCCCAGAGCTGAGCTGGTACGAACTGGAGGGCGTAGGCCATGATCCGTGGCCGTTGCCTCCCGGGTAGTAGGAGCTCTGGGAGCTCGTGGTGTTGACGCCGGAGGAAAGCGGACTAAGCCCTTCACCTGGCACTCCTGAAGGCGATGTTAGACCAGAGCTGGCGGTAATGGGAGAATGTTGAGTGTTTGAAGCAGCGGAGGAGGAGGAGGGAGCCGACGGCGTGACCATCGCGGGAGCATGCCACGACGATGGCGACTGCAAAGGCTGATTGTGAAAACTGAAAGGGTACTGATGAGAATGTCTACTCATACTCGGTATATCTTGATTTGCCGACGGGAGATGGAAAGGAGGCAAAGCCTGTGTTGCTTGTCTTCGAGCCGTAAAGCTCGAAGAGGTCTCCATTGCCATTTTGGGTGGGGGGCTCGTGGTGCCTGGGCTTTTGGTGATTTTCGAATCCTTCTCGTTCTTTCCTGCCACGAGGAAGCTCTTGCTTTTTTGACTAGATTTTACAGCCGGGCGGGTAAAACCAGCAGGCACCTTCGTCGGTACTTGTGCCTGACCAGAGGATTGGCGGAGGAGGAACAGGAGCGGGAGCACAGAGTCTGAAGTGACGTGACTGAACAACCAACCGTGACGGCAGGGTTGCGGCGGAGGTCAAGCAGAGGAAGGCACCCGGGATTATTTTTCTTCTCCCTCTTTCTCCGTAGTCTGTACAGCTCGGAGCAGCAGTAGTAGCTGCTGCTGTCGGGTCCTAGGGATGCGGCGTCGGAGCTGAAAAAAAGTTGGAACCTCAACGCGGTGCTCAGGAATGCCACGAACGAGAAGTTGCCGCCGCTACTGGATTCGACAACGATGATGGCCGGTGACAGTCCAACACGGTGCAATCAGACGTCCAAATCAGGTTGGGTGGTGGAATGCCGTGGTCTTGGGCTATGGGGGCAGGAATGGGAGAAGAAGGCGTGGCAAGACAAGACAAGACAAAGCTGACGAGAGGAAGGCGGCTTAGATAGCCAAGGTGGGTAGCGTAGGTAAGGTAGATAGGTAGTTCTCCAGATAGGTAATGGGAGGTATACAAGTAAATAATTAGGCCCTAGGATGATGAGGAGGAGGACGCTGCCCTGGGAGCAATGCTTGATGGAAAAGGTGGATTGGGTTCGGAGTAAATAGATGGCAGGCCCGGCGGATGGGGTCGAAAGGAGGCTTTGTGTGCAGATTTTGAGCTATCCTCGAGCGAGATGTCGAAAGGAGTTATCGTGCGTCGATCACCTTAGTTGCCAGTCGAGTCCCGTCTACCTTGCCAGTGTGGAGAGGCGGCTGTCGAATATATGTAGCTTGTTGATGGTGCGGGACTTGAACTTGGGACACTAGGCCAGGTGCGCTTAGGTCAAAGCCAGCCAGCCCTCTAGCTCGGGAGGGCTGAAGGGGGCTTGTGAATGGGTAAGTCCAATACCAAATGCTACCGGAGGACCCTGGGCGCCTCAGCTCCAAGTACCGGGGGTGGGTTGCGTCTGACAATCCAGGAGAGAGGGTCGATGAAGTAGCGCCTGCCCTACGACACGGCCTAAACGGACAGACAGACGCTCTTGTTGGGCCGTCCCGTCCTGTCTGCTTGCTCCTGTTTCCTCTGTTATGCTGCGAGCCTGCAGTGGGAGTGACTTGTTGGAATGTCTGATGAGCCAAAAGGGAGTAGAGGCGGTCGGTCTAGAGTGAGTGTGAGAGTGAGAGAAAGAAGCAGGATGAGAGATGTGACAAAAACTCGTGCTTTTCTCTGCTCATCAGTGTCTCTCCGAAGAGCTTGTCTCTCTCTTCTCTCTGTTGTCTCTGTGCCAGTCCGTCCCCGCCCGACATTCGTCGAGTCCCAGCCGGGAGAAGAATCAAGATGCAGGACAGTAGAGCAGCGGTCAGTCAGTCTCTGTAGTGAGATAGTTGAGGTACCCCGTGCTTGTGCTATAGGGTCTTTCCCTGCCTTGGAGAAGGGCAACAGTGGCGTCTTTTGACTGACCCCCCCTCGGGCTTGGGACAACAAGGTCTGGGCGTTGAAGGTCCAAGGCGGAAAGAAACACAAGCAGGCTGCCGGGACGGGTGAGTTTGGGGCTTCTGAAGAAGGGGGTGCGGTTGCTCAAAGGTAGCCGCTGGCTGGCGCTCTCTCTCTCTCTGGAGATTAAAGGTTAAGATTTCATTGACGGACGAGCAAGACCGAAGACAGCCTCTCTTGTTTGGCGTGGATCAAGTAAGTATCAGGAGTGGGCGAGGCTCCTTGCTTTGGGGAAACACACAGACGAGGAGGTGTGAGGACAAGAAGGGGAGAGGGTGTGAAGGAATATGAGCGGGCAGAGAAACACAAAAATCTTCGAGCCAGGAGCGTGGGTGTGGCCATAGGCCCAGAAGCCTGAGCTGAATTGGGAATGGCGATTGGGAGTGAGAGAAGTCGTGTGTGTTCCAGCCAGGTCTGTCATCATTCAGTTGGCCATTTCAACAAGGTTAGGGGGTGGGAAGGAGGAGAGAAGGAGGGGGGGCCAACCTGCCAGCCGGAAAAGAAACGATGAAAGAAGCAATTGGCAGCATGGGCGAGAGAGAGAGAAAGAGGGGAGAGAGAGAGAGACGAAGGATGGTGTATACTTTACCTTGGAGATGTTTCCAGGTACCAAGTAGCCAGGGCGGGAGGCAGTGAATTGAGAGACAGAGCCCCGAGACGGAGAGACATAAACCAGAGAGACATCGGAAGCGAGTGAGGGCGAGAGAGGAAGAGATACAGAGAAACGGGTTGGCTACTGGGCTAGAGGCTGGAACCCTGTCTGCTCCGTCTCTCTGTCTGGCTCTTACTCCGTTACTGCGCAGGTGAGAGTCCCCAAACCGCACTCCGTCCCCATCCCATCCCCATCCCCATCCATGCACCAGCACCAGACAGTTGGGTCCCGTATTCCTTGTCCCCTGAGATTGGCTTCTTTCCAAGTCGAGCAACAACAAGTCGCATGTGCTTTTCTTGCCTTGCCAGAGCTTGCTTGCTTGCTTGAATGCTTTGGCTTGCTTGCTGCCATCTGCTTCTGGTCCTTGCTCACTCACCCCCCATCCCGCGGCGGGCCAGATCAAGGATAGCCAGGTTAGTCTCTTTTGTCGAAGCAACGTACGGATAATGCTTGGACCCGTCCTTTCAAGACGAGATGCTTCAACCAAACCTTTCTCGTTCTTACCCTCTTCCCCGGGAACCGCTAGACTTGGGATGATCTGCTGGAGATTGGCACTGACGCGGGCCTTGCGGGACCCGGGCACGGTTCAGACAACCGCGACGACGTCGCGTTCGTTTGGTCAGGACTCGCGATTCTCATTCAAAGATGCGTTTTGTCGCTCGCCAGAAGTGACTCTGATCTCAGTACTGAGGCTACCTCAACCATCCTTTCCAGGGCCCCCCTCCCTTTTTTGCGCGGCGTGCGCAAGAGCAGCAAAATGTGCAGAGGTGGTAGCGGTACCCTCGTGCCGAGCTGCGAGTTGGTGAGGGAGCTGGTGGAGGGATTCCCATCAGCTACGGTCAGCACAACCCTGTTGCCGTTCCGGCGCACCTCCTCCAGCATAATCGCACTTGGGGCCCATGTTATTACAAGGCTCCACTCTGAGCTAATGTCTTCGGGCGCGCGACCGTCCAGTATAGTGTGGTGAGTGTGTGCTTTTCTACTTCGGACAAGGGTAGAGTCAGCCCAGTCCAGTGTTGGGTCGGGTCGGGTGTGTACGAATAATTAGTGTGTGGTCTGTATCGTAAGTCTTTCGGTTCCTCTCTCTCTCTCTCTCTTTTGGATCAAAGAGCTCGGACACCGCTAGGGGCGTGGTTCAAGTACTCAAAACTGTGCTCACTCTTCTTCTCGGGGCTAGCTCGAACCCTGGTCCTGCATCAGCTCAACCCTTTTATTCCCTCCACCACGACACTTGAGATCAGTGATTGATGCTCGTCTCCAACAGATGACTATGTGTACTGCGGTGTTGCTCTCCCGTTAGTCTCCCTATCCCCTCCCCCCTTCCCATCCCCAGGATTCATGCAATGCTGACCGGTTCCCGACTGAATGAATGAGCTTTTTTTTGTGTGTATGTGTGTGCGCGCTCATACCTAGCGTAGTAGTGTGTTGACCGATGAGGCCCATTTTGGCGGCAAGTCGAGACTCCAGACGCTCGTCCGCCACGATCTCGCTGCTTGTAATATTCGTAGATGGGCGACATCCTCATACTATGCGTAGCCCCCCGTAAGCCCCCACCACTAGGAGAGACCGTCTGAATTGACATGACGGGCGAAAAACCTTGCTGCGCTTGGCATGGCGAACGCCCAGGTACGTCTTGAAGATGCCATCTATGCTTCTTGCAGATACCCACGAAGGGCCCCGGGGAACGACGCCGTTGAGACGCGATTATGGAGTCTGGGACACTAAAGATCGTCCGTGCGGCTGGGACCGACGTGAGATGATCATCCAAATTCTCGTGCTCAAACGTATGTACTTTGCTTCCCGTTGGTCCAGCGTTCCTCCAGTCTCGACACCGCGGTTCAAAGGTCTGCATGCCCATGATGGGTATTGAGGGCGTGTGACGTGAGGGTAACGTCTCCCTTTCTTTCATTTGCAGAGAGGGAAGGGGGGCAGGACTTGGAGGGCGCGGTACCTGATGATCGATCTGCTGGGCTTCCACGAGTGTCTCGTACCGGCCCATCGCCGCTGGGAGTAAGTTCCCATAATGAATGCTGTTCGTGCACACAGTAGCAGGACATTCCGACTGGTCAACCTGATGTGTTCGTACCGTGTTACGAAACCCATATATCTCCATTGCAAGCAATCCCGGCCCAGGCCTGACCGACATGACTGACTTGACCTACCAATACCTGGTAGATATTTACTTGACTATTGATGAGCACCGACCAGGCCAGTACGGAAAGTGATATGGATCCTGTCATCGACTCCGTATCTGTTAGTCCGTATCCGTACCTTGAATGAAGCTGTGGTCGCTCAAAATCCCCCGCCAACTTGCCGGGGACCAGGACCCAGCAGCAACCCCGTGCAGGAAGATCCTTGCCTCGCGCCCTCGGCTCCTGTGTCAAACATCTGGGAATCTCAGGACGCCCGCGCCAGGGTACCGGGCTTGTTTGCCAACACTGCCTCCCCAGTGCCCACCCGTTGCGCCGCGTAAAGGAGCAAAGCTGCAGCGCTATCCGTAGTGTACGGTTTTGGATGCTTTGCTCCCCCAAGTCCGACGTTCCCAAAAATCGAAGATGATCCACAGTCCCGTTCCTGATCGAGAGCTCGGACAATTCTTGCAAGCCCCCAGCCCGGCACGGTGCCATCTGATCTGGGCGCAATGGCTCGTGGCCATGTACAATGCGTCCATGACAGGTTGTCAAGCCCGACCACCCGCTGCGGGCTACTGCTTTTTCGACC